CTCATTCCTATTCTTTTATTCTCATTCCCATGCTGTCATATTTTGGTTCCAGGTATGTGGTATGTAGAAGCCTCAAGGAAGACAAGCAATCCGTCAATCAATATTTATTTTTTATAAATGAAACTATTCATGAACTGAGACAAGACGAAGAAGAAGAGAAAGATATTTTAGAGGTGAGAGAGAGGGAGAGAGAGAGAGAGAGAGAGAGAGAGAGGGGGGGGAGAGAGAGAGGGGGGGGAGAGAGAGAGAGGGGGGAGAGAGAGAGAGAGGGGAATCAATGTAGAATAGAGATATTGTGTAGCATAAAATTAGAAGAATTTGGTTTGGTGATGTGACCAATCTTCACAAAATAGAGACATTTTGTTTTATTTCATTGAAAATTTGAAATCATGCAAACTGTGTACTATCTGATTTGCAGTGTTTTATTATTTATTTTTTCATTTTTTAGGTTGTTCCTAATAATTTATTACAGACCGAACCATTCTACACTTACATTACTGACAGTAATGACAGGTATTTATACTTATTATTATTATTATTATTATTATTATTATTATTATTGAGCAGACAACAAATGTAAAATATAAAATAGAATAGGTTAAGTTATTTTGTATAGAGAAGGAGAGTAGAAAAAAAAATAATAATAATAGTCATTAGAATTAGAATTATTATTATTATTATTATTATTATTATTATTATTATTATTATTATTATTATTATTATTATTACTATTATTATGAGAGAGAAAGAGAGATGTGGGAAAAGAGGGAGAAACCCATAATCATTATTATTATTATTATTATTATTATTATTATTATTATTAATTAGTATCGGCATTAATCAAATCATAGCATTAAAGAAGCTAAAATATTTCGTTAAAAATACGTAAGCCTGTGACATCACATTTCATCACTAATGACATCATATTACATCACACGATAGCAATCTTCAAGAAACCAGACAAGCAGCTCTAAGAAACAAGTGCTTACAATTATGGGAGGTAATTTATTATTTATTTATTTATTCATTTATTTGTTTGTTTATTTATTTATTTGTTTGTTTATTTGTTTGTTTGTTTGTTTGTTTATTTATTTATTATATATTATTAATAATTATTGTTATTGTAGTAGTAGAGAAAAAAACAATAACAATAACAATAGACCTAATAAGAGCTATTATTATTATTATTTATTTATTTATTCATTTATTTATTTACTATTATTTATTATCATTATTATTAGGTTCCTACTGTCCCTAGAGAGGCCCCTGTTGATCGAACTGCTAAAGAGATCTTTGATAATTGTTGGAAAGTAACCACCTCATCCTACCCATCTCTCCTTATCATTCCGTTGCCATAGAAACTGACTAGACGTCCTGATGAAGACATAAGCCTGTTTGTATCCGATAATTTCAAAGACGTTAAAATGGAGAGTCTGCCATTTTTACTAGACCCTAACTCATGGAAGTGGTGCTTCGCTTGTGGCAGGAGATTCCTACTAGTCGGACTTGGAGTGGGTTTTATAATCTTTTATTATATGTGTACATTTCCTGATGCATATACATGTTTTTATGCTGTGTAGAAAGTTTAAGCCGATTCTGATTAAAATTGGATTTTTCATGATTTTTTAGAGGAACCGAATTCATTCATGGGACATGAGAGGTCAAAGAGTTTCATTCTTCCCTCGGTCTGAGTTACAGATTGAGTTACCCAAAGGAACGATCCTTGAAGTTGAGATAATACCTGAAATGTCTGGGGAAGTATGCAACATAATTTACTAATGTTTTATGTAAAATTAATGTATCCTTCCTCTTTCTCTCTCTCTCTCTCCCTCTGTTACTCTATCCTTAGGGTCGTGCACAGCGTCAAATCAACGTTGTGTACATTATGGACGTCATTGCCATCTCACACGACATGAGTTATGCAATGAAACCTCTAAAAGAAAGGTAGATTTTATTTTTTTATTATTATCATTATCATTATTTTGAAGGTTATTATTTTTTTTCTGGTTGTCTAGACTTGCTGTTGCAGAGAAGTTGTGCAAAGTTCTTAACAAACCATGTCAGAAACAATTCTTAACATTGAAGTATGTACTATAGTATAGTACAGGGTATTTTAATCATAACTCGAAAAATTTAAGTCGGAATCAGCTCAAACTTTCTACGGATCATAAGGACATCAATATGTATCAGAAAATGTAATAAAAATTGGGGGTGATTTTTTGGCCATTTTTCTGAAAAAACCATGGGCTATAGTACAGGGATTTTTTCAGATTTTGGCCCATTTTTTAAAATGGCCATAACTTGAAAAATTGAAGTCGGAATCAGCTCAAACTTTCTACGGATCATAAGGACATCAATATGTATCAGAAAATGTAATAAAAATTGGGGGGGGGGGGAATTTTTGGCCATTTTTCTGAAAAAACCATGGGCTATAGTACAGGGATTTTCAGATTTTGGCCCATTTTTTAAAATGGCCATAACTTGAAAAATTTAAGTTGGAATCAGCTCAAACTTTGTACATGTATGTGTACAGTAGCTTAAGGAAGTGCATTAATATTTATTATTTTTGATTAATGATAGGGTTAAACCATATTATCGCGTTGTTGACATGATATCAACTTTTGGAGAGTAAGCCCAAGATTAAAACCAATACATTTTTAAAACTCTCCTCTCCCCTTTAGCTTGAGATTACGTAACTGCAAAGGGTTAGGGGACGTACCTACATTAGACGTCTCACATGATGAGTGGTTTATAGCACCGATTGGAGTTATATTCTGTAAAGTATTATTAGGTACTAATATATCCACCGAACATGAGAAAGTCTAGGATGATCCTGTAAATTATTTTTTCTTATTTTTAGAGCCATGGCAGCTTCATTTCAGTCAATCAAGTGGTAGGCTGTACTTTTTTAATTATAAAACGAACAAGAGCTCATTCGAACCACCCAGAGAATCAATCTCACCATTCCTGTTAGTTAATAATGATGATACTGTACCGTATTAGCTAGACACTTCTCCAGCCAAAATTTTTATCAATAACCAGCAAAATTTTATTTATATTTCCAAATGCAATTTATGCCAGTACCTGCTAGATTTTGGGTTCAATTTAAAAATTTTTTAGCATAGAATAACTTTTCTCTCTTTCTCTGTTTCCAATTTCTCTTGCTGTTCATAGATCAGTACTTGCTACCAGGCACATTTGGAGATGGTTGCCTCACATGTCTCGGGATATTTGTGACATAGAGGAAGAGGAGGAGAATCACTCAAGGAAGGAACTGGTTGGAGGAAGTCTGACTTGGTCCGTCTTGAGGTCGAAACTGGAGTCTATTAAACGATGATGATAATTTTAATATTATTATTTATTATTTATGGGCGTCATTTTCAATCTTCACTGTACATAAATCTCTCTCTCCTTTTTATTGTTAAGTGTTGGATGTCGATTTTGTATTATAATAATTCAGATCCCCCCTCTCTGAATTTCTTTCACTCATACACTGAATGTGTGTGTATATACAATATACAGTGACCTTATGGCTCTTTTTGCTGCTGTTGGTTTTTTAAATGTGATGACAGCTGCTCTCATTGTTGAAGTTATGTGAATGTGCATATGTTTGTATCTATGTTAGTTCACCTGCAGCTGTCAATTGTATAAATTTTAAATAAAAACAATATATTATACTTAATCAATAATATAATCTTTACTAGTTAGTCTATACTCGGATGAGTTAGTGACTTTAACACTATCGTACAATTTACCAATGTCATCTTGGCTTTTTCCTTCTCTAATTCCTACAGTGATAGCTGCCATTTTTTTCTTTTCTCTAACTGCGACTTGTCTCCAGATATACAGCATGTCCGTCCACCATGTTAATGGCTTCTTACGTCTTTTAACAAGTGGTTTTGGAAACTCGCAATCGTAATGATCCCTACTAGCGATGAGTGGTTCTAGCTTTGTCCCGGTTTTTGCCGCCTTTCTTTTTTCTATTGCTTTGTTGCAGACGAAGCATTCAAAGCCATCAATGTGGTTTATTGCGCCTGGAGAATAATCATTCACCCGCCATTCTCTATCATTCATGGTGTCAAGTAGTCGGAGATTAGTGATACCATAATGCTTGTATTCTAAATATTTTATGTATTCGTCATCGTTTTTATCTAAGTATAAAAGGTATTCCGCTAGTTCTTTAGGTGATTTAAAATCGTCTATTAATATAATGGAGTGTTCGCTAGGCGCCCAGTCCTTAACCATCGGAGATCCTTTAACTACTGGGACAGATCCGGCGTAGAATGGTCTCCAGAACTTCTCAGTAATGTAATCATTGCATATTGCATTCTCCATAGCCAGTGTGAACTTGTACTGCGATATGATATCAAGTAAATCCTCAGAGTCCATACCTGTCAGCGGATCCCTCAGATGTCCTTCAGGTAAATCCTTATTATGAAGACACTTACCAAATGAATCAACTTGTACGTACTTCATCAGTTCGCTAACATAAGAGTCTCTATCTGATGGCGGATCACAATCAGAATGTAAATACATCACTAGCCCTCGCTCTCCTTTGCTCTTATCTTCAATTCTAGTTTTCATCGGTGCCATCAAATTCTGCAAGTCCTCAAGATATTGCGTTACCAATGGATACGATGACAAACGACTTGGTGTGGAGGTGATATTAAATAATGCTATACCGTCATCAGTAGCAAACCCCCAGTTGTTTTTTGGGGATTCTTCGTGGAGCAGCGCCCAGTAGAGTCTTGGATCTCTCGGTAATGGAAGGTCTGTCCATTTTAAATCAGAACCATAGAAGATGACCGCTTCTGTCCGAGTATTATTAAGCTCTCGTCTCGAGTGAGTTATGAGACAGTTTCCAGCAGAGCAGGAGCGGATAATGCGCTGATTCGGAGTAAATGGAGTCCACCATATCAGAATGGGGTATTCTTCGGTATTGGTCTCTGGTGGAAGGATCACAATATCTTCATTCTCTTGGTTCAGCTCCTTTACAAAAATCCCAGAGTACGTTGAGAGATAGAGGAGGACTAGTATTACGGCTAGGAGGAAGGCAATTTGTCTCCTTCTTTTCGTTTTCCAGATAAAAATCCAAGTTGTCAAGATCATTTTCAACTTTTCCTCATGTCAATAAAGACAACCACGCCCCTTTCAAAACTCAGCTCCTCCCTTTGCGTGGGCGTTGAAGGCAATTAGGGAGACATGGCTAAAAGTTCTTGTCTAAAATGTTTTCTCTCTCTTTTCTGTCTCTTCATAGCCATCATGTGCCCCCTACTCTCGATGAGAGAAGAACAATTAGACCCGGTCGAAGAAGCCCGAGTCCTCCTGGGTACAGGTAACATTGTAGAGAACCTCACTCTCTCAGAAGTGAGGCGGAAATCCGTATACCTGGAAAAAGAGAACTCGACAGAGCACCCTATTATAATATGGTGGACACCGTTCACCGGATATCCCCGTATAGTACACCAGTGCAAGACCGGGTCGTGCCTTTTCACCCACAGTCGTACCGAATATGATAATCCATTGACTGTCGGATTCATGTTTTACGGTACGATGGTCGAATGGACATCGCTCCCTCTACCTCGCAAGCCGGAACACCTTTGGATACTCTTGCATGAAGAGTCCTCAAAGAACAACTGGTTACTGATGTATGAGAGTGTCATGTCTCTCTTTAATATAACGTCCACTTCAAGCAGATACTCGAGCTATCCGCTGATAACACAGTATTTGGATTCAATTGAAAAATTACTATCACCTATAAAGACTCCGGTTGAAGAGAAGAGCAAAGGAGAGCGAGGACTAGTGATGTATTTACATTCTGATTGCGATCCGCCATCAGATAGAGACTCTTATGTTAGCGAACTGATGAAGTATGTACAAGTTGATTCATTCGGTAAGTGTCTTCATAATAAGGATTTACCTGAAGGACATCTGAGGGATCCACTGACAGGTATGGACTCTGAGGATTTACTTGACATCATATCGCAGTATAAGTTCACACTGGCTATGGAGAATGCGATATGCAATGATTACATTACTGAGAAGTTCTGGAGACCATTCTACGCCGGGTCTGTCCCAGTAGTTAAAGGATCTCCGACGGTTAAGGACTGGGCGCCTAGCGAGCACTCCATTATATTAATAGACGATTTTAAATCACCTAAAGAACTAGCGGAATATCTTATATACTTAGATAAAAACAATGACGAATATGTAAAATATTTAGAGTACAAAAAGACTGGAGTCACTAATGAGAGACTCTTAAATATAATGGAAGATAGAGAATGGAAGGCTAACGTTGTAGCATACGATGACAAAAACATGATTGAGTCGTACGAATGCTTTGTTTGCGATTCAATACACGAGAGACTCAGGAAGGAAAGGGAAGGATTACCTCTGGATCCAATAATTGCAAACAAGTCTCACTATGACTGCCAGTTTCCAGAATCAGCTGTCGAGATGAAGTCCCTTGAACGCTTCCGACAGACAGAGTTTTGGCGACAGGTTGCTAAGAGATCTGGTTATCAAGCTGATGCTATTGGTCCTGCCATCAATGAAGGCAAAACTCAGGATGAAGTAACTTCATTGTATAATTCTGCTGCTGATGGTATGACCAGTGAAGAATGGGAAGTCTCTCACAACAAATTTTAATTATTTTATTTGATTCTCAATTTTCTTTTCTTTGCATAATATATAATAACTAAACCTCACTGTCGTACATAATTGATTTATCATTAATATGATATCATACTTCCCTTCTTGGGTGAGAACCATCTTTATAGTATTAGTATGACTCAATTAGAACAGCAGTCAATACACTGGCTTGGCATGCAGCCACTGTAATAATTACATTGAAGCACTAACTGCTCTTGCTGTAGTATACTAAAGTAGTTTAATGCTTATGATACAATAATAATGCATAATGATTGAATAAAAGAAAATCAAGTCATTTCAATAAAATGAATCAGTCTTTTTCGTTAATTTTATGCAAGCAGTTCCATGTACCGGGTGCATTCACCACTGATCTCACTGATACGAAATCAACCATTAACACTAACACTGATATCATTAGTACTAGAAATGACAGCAATGAGTACATTGCCTCTAACACAAAGTAACCATTCTTATCAATGATGAAGCCTGAGATTATTGACAGTAGACCCCAGAACAGATTAAAAGAGCTTCCAATTATACCATATGCAGTCGCTATCTGATTTCCTTCCACAATGAGTCCAGGGATACCCCAATAAGCAGGTGTCATTATAGTATAAGATACTGAATATAAGATACTAGTGACATAAGGCATGTAGTGTAGCCCTGGATTACTGAATAGTAGTACCACATGCACTAATAGTCCACTGCTAACGGCTACCATAGTCCATAGTATGTGGTGTCCAGTTGCATTCACAATACAGCCCATTATAGGAGTAGCTAGCATAGTAGCACTAAATACAAATGAATTTGCAATGCTTGCTTCCTCTAGTGATAAACCATACTTCTGTATGTAGAAAACTTGTCCAATACCAGTGAATGCATTTACAAGTGAATAGTAAAGCGTAATGCTGGTTGCTAGCCAGAATAATCCGTCGAATTGTTTCAAGTCGCTACATTCGATTTTGCTCATCTCCATTTTCTTTTTCTGCAGTACTTTTTCTCTATATTTATCCATGAGTACTACAACTATGGTTGCCATTAATCCTGTTAATACAAGCCCTGCACCTACTAGCACTGTAGCACCAAGGCGATACAACGGATCAGTAAAATAATATAATTGCTGATAAATGAATTGAGGCAGAGCCAGAGCTGCTGCAGCTCCAAGTCGAGCTGCAGTCCCCCCAGTAGAGACTGCTAGAGTTAGATATTCTTTACCAAACCAACTGATGAAGAACATCGTACAGATTGCAGGAGATAGAGTGGCTGCTATCCCTATAATGAACCGACCAAACAACACAACCCAAAAATAATTCAAAAAACTTCCAACCGACCAAACGAGCTGACCAAGCAATAAAAGAAGTGTCATTACCATAAAGCTTGATCTCGGTCCTAATATCCTATCTGCTATTACTCCTCCTATCACTGATATGACTATGTTAGGCCATGTAGTCACAAGAAAGAGCAGGTTATATTGTGTGGTATCAATGCCCATTACTTTGATGATAGTGTCCTCCAGTCCTCCTGGACTATCACAGCAGTAATAACATATTAACTCCACGTAGCAGGTAAGGAAAAGGAGTGTAATCAAGTATGGCCAGTGGTTAGGATGGCAGCATGTTACTGGTCTACTGTCTATGGAATCTGCCTTTTTCTCTGCAGAACTATCAGTGCCCGCAGATAAGAGTGACTCTTCTGATTCCTGGCAGGCATATTATAAATAAAAAATTTAAAGCCAATAGCATTGAGACTTACCACTGTCATTTCTATCAGTAATAGCTGAAGAGAAGCTGGATGCAGATGGGCTGAGCTAATAATGCAAAGAAAAAATAATGTGAAATGTGTGGGAGTAGACTATAAATCAAATAATCACATGCAGCATAATTGATAAGAGAGAAAAGTGATGTGTATGGAGGCCTTAAATAAAATATGATCATGTGATGCATATATAGATAATAGCATGAAAGGCAGTGAAGATTAGAGTAGATATGGAATTGAATAGAACTAAATTAAAGTCTAGAATAAGTAATGTGTGAATATGTTAATTACAGTACCAATGCAGTTATTCATTACAATTGCTACCTACTGAAGAGCAGTTGTCAATTCTTCTATAAACCTTGGGAGTTTGAATATGTGCATGCATGCAGCTTCAAAAAAGGAGGAGCCTGCATCTTATCTGTTGTTAGATGATATAGTTATTGCTACTACTTTTTGGCTGCTTGACAATAGTATAACTCAATAAGTTTATCAATAATTTAAAAAATAATTTATTCATTTCATCATTATTACATTTAGTGTCTCATTGTACTTCTCTTTTCCATGTACCGGGTGCATTTACGACTGGTCTCACTGATACGAGATCAATCATTAACACTAACACTGATATCATTAGAATTAGAAACAACAACGATGTGTTCATAATCTCTAACATGAAGTAACCGTTGTTATCAATGATGAAGCCTGAGACTATCGACAGTAGACCCCAGAAGAGACTAAGGAAGCTATTAATTATACCATATGCGGTCGCTATCTGATTCTCTTCCACAATGAGCCCAGGAACAACCCCATAAGCAGCTGCAACTATCGTATAAGACACCGAATATAACATACCAGTGACATAAGGCATGTAGTGAAGCCCTGGAATACTAACTAGTAGTACTACATGTACTAATAGTCCAGCGGTTAGTCCTACCATAGTCCAAAGCATGTGGTATCCAATTCCATTCACAATATATCCAAGTACTGGAGTAGCTAGTATTGTAGCACCAAATACAAATGAATTTGTAATGCTTCCTTCCTCTAGTGATAAACCATACTTCTGTACGTAGAAAACTTGTCCAATACCAGTGAATGAAAATACGATTGAATAGTAGAGCGTAATACTCGAGGCTAGCCAGAATAATCCATCAAATTGCTTCAAATCGCTACATTCGATTTTGCTCATCTCCATTTTCTTTTTCTGCAGTACTTTTTCTCTGTACTTGTCCATGAATACTACAATTATGGTTGCCATTAGTCCTATTAATACAAGCCCTGCACCTACTAGCACTGTAGCACCAAGGCGATACAACGGATCAGTAAAATAATATAATTGCTGATAAATGAATTGAGGCAGAGCCAGAGCTACAGCAGGTCCAAGTCGAGCTGCAGTACCACAAATTGCCACAGCTAGTGTTAGGTATTTCTTACCCATCCAACTGACAAAGTACATAATGCAAATAGAAGGAAATAGAGTGGCTCCCATCCCTATAATGAACCGACCAATCAACACGACCCAAAAATAATTCAAAAAACTTCCAGCAGACCAAACGAGCTGACCCACGAGTACAATAAATAATATTATTATAGAGCTTGATCTCGGTCCTAGTATCCTATCAGCTATCACTCCTCCTATTACTGATACAAATATACTAGGCCATGTGGTCACAAGAAAGAGGAGGTTATATTGTGTGGTATCAATGCCCATTACTTTGATGATAGTGTCCTCTAATCCTCCCGGACTGTCATTGCAATAATTGCACAATGCCTGGACGTAGCAGATAAGGAGAAGGAGGGTAGTCAAGTATGGCCAGTGGTTAGGATGGCAGCATGTTACTGGTCTGCTCTTGTCTATGGCGTCTGCCTCCTCCTCTGCAGATGAACTATCAGTGTGGCCGGATAAGAGTGGCTGTTCTGATTCCTGGGCATTTTATAAATAAGTAAAATATTATTCAAAGCCTTTAGCATTGAGCATTAATACTTACCAGTGTCATTTCTATAATAGCTGAAGACTAAAAGCGCCTTTTACCTGAGATAAAGTTTCATCTTGGAGATAGGCCTAGGAAAAATGCAGAAGGGAGGAGCTTATTTACACATGGCCTACATGCGCATGCCTCAGCGCTGCGCATGCCTTTTATTGTCTGTTATCTATGCTGTTATAGCTCTCAATTATTGAACAAAATATAGTTTTTTTTTTTAATCAAAAATTAGTTCTCTTTTTTCCATGTACCAGGTGCATTCACCACTGATCTCACTGATACGAGATCAATCATTAACACTAACACTGATATCATTAGTACTAAAAACGATAGCGATGTGTTCATAATCTCTAACACAAAGTAACCATTGTTATCAATGATGACACCAGAGACTACCGACAATAGACCCCAGAAGAGACTAAGGAAGCTACTAATTATACCATATGCGGTCGCTATCTGATTCTCTTCCACAATAAGTCCAGGGATAACCCCATAAGCAGCTGCAACTATCATATAAGATACCGAATATAAGATACCAGTGACATAAGGCATGTAGTGAAGCCCTGGAATACTGAATAGTAGTACTAGATGCACTAATAACCCAGTGGTTAGTCCTACCATAGTCCATAGTATATGGTATCCAATTACATTCACAACATATCCAATTACTGGTGTAGCTAGTATTGTAGCACTGTATACAAGCGAGTTTGCAATGCTTGCTTCTTCTAGTGACAGACTGTACTTCTGTACGTAGAAAACTTGTCCAATGCAAGTGAATGCAAGTACAATTGAATAGTAAAGCGTAATACTCGAGGCTAGCCAGAATAATCCATCAAATTGTTTCAAATCGCTACATTTGATTTTATTCATCTCCATTTTCTTTTTCTGCAGTATTTTTTCTCTATATTTGTCCATGAGTACTACAATTATGGTTGCCATTAGTCCTGTTAATACAAGCCCTGCACCTACTAGCACTGTAGCACCAAGGCGATACAACGGATCAGTAAAATAATATAATTGCTGATAAATGAACTGAGGCAGAGCCAAAGCTACTGCAGCTCCAAGCTGAGGTGAAGGACCACAAATTGCGACAGCTAGTGTTAGATATTTCTTACCAAACCAACTGATGAAAAACATAGTAAAAATTGCAGGAGATAGAGTGGCTCCTATCCCTATGATGAACCGACCAATCAACACGACCCAAAAATAATTCAAAAAACTTCCAGCCGACCAAATGAGCTGACCCAGGAGTACCGTAAGTAGTATTACAATAGAGCTTGATCTAGGCCCTAGTATCCTATCAGCTATCACTCCTCCTATTACTGATACAAATATGTTAGGCCATGTAGTCACAAGAAAGAGCAGGTTATATTGTGTGGTATCAATGCCCATTACTTTGATGATAGTGTCCTCCAGTCCTCCTGGACTGTCATTGCAATAAATGCACAATGCCTGGACGTAGCAGATAAGGAGAAGGAGGGTAGTCAAGTATGGCCAGTGGTTAGGATGGCAGCATGTTACTGGTCTACTCTTGTCTGCCTCCGCTTTCTCTGGAGAACTATCAGTGCCCGCGGATAAGAGTGGCTGTTCTGATTCCTGGGCATTTTATAAATAGAACATTAAGAGCAGTTGATACTCGTCATTACTTACCACTATCATTTCTATAATACCTGGAGACTAAGAGTGCTTTTTACCACTAAAATACCAGAACTGAAATGAAGTTTTTTTTACTTGGAGATAGGAAAAATGCAGAGGGAGGGGCATGCACATGCCTGAAATTGCTCTCAATTAGATCTATTGAACAAATATTTTTAAAATCAAAATTATTAGTCTTCTCTTTTCCATGTACCAGGTGCATTCACCACTGATCTCACTGATACAAGATCAATCATTAACACTAACACTGATATAATTAGTATTAGAAACAATAATGACGAGTACAATATCTCTAACACAAAGTAGCCACTGATATCAATGATGAAACCTGAGACTACAGACAATAGACCCCAGAAGAGATTAATAGAACTTCCAATTATACCATATGCGGTCGCTATCTGATTCTCTTCCACAATGAGTCCAGGGATAACCCAATAAGCAGCTGCAACTATCGTATAAGACACTGAATATAACATACCAGTGATATGTGGTATGAAATGAAGCCCTGGAATACTGACTAGTAGTACTACATGCACTAATAGCCCAGTGGTTAGTCCTACCATAGTCCATAATATATGGTATCCAATTACATTCACAATATATCCAAGTACTGGTGTAGCTAGTATTGTAGCACTGAATACAAATGAATTTGTAATGCTTGCTTCCTCTAGTGATAAGCCATACTTCTGTACGTAGAAAACTTGTCCAATTCCAGTGAATGAAAACACAATTGAATAGTAGAGCGTAATGCTGGTTGCTAGCCAGAATAATCCATCGAACTGTTTCAAATTGCTACAATTCATTTTGTTCATCTTCATTTTCTTTTTCTGCAGTACTTTTTCTCTATATTTGTCCATGAGTACTGCAATTATGTTTGCTATTAGTCCTATTAATACAAGCCCTGCACCTACTAGCACTGTAGCACCAAGGCGATACAACGGATTGGTAAAATAATATAATTGCTGATAAATGAACTGAGGCAGAGCCAAAGCTGCTGCTGCTCCAAGTCGAGCTGCAGTCCCCCCAGTAGAGACTGCTAGAGTTAGATATTCTTTACCAAACCAACTGATGAAAAACATAGTACAAATTGCAGGAGATAGAGTGGCTCCTATCCCTATAATGAACCGACCAATCAACACGACCCAAAAATAATTCAAAAAACTTCCAGCCGACCAAATGAGCTGACCCAAGAGTACAACAAGTATTATTACGATAGAGCTTGATCTTGGTCCTAGTATCCTATCAGCTATCACTCCTCCTATTACTGATACAAATATGTTAGGCCATGTGGTCACAAGAAAGAGCAGGTTATATTGTGTGGTATCAATACCCATTACTTTGATGATAGTGTCCTCAAGTCCACCTGGGCTTTCATTGCAATAAAAGCATAATGCCTGGACGTAGCAGATAAGGAGAAGGAGCGTAATCAAGTATGGCCAATGGTTAGGATGGCAGCATGTTACTGGTCTACTGTCTATGGTGTCTGCCTTTTTCTCTACAGAACTATCAGTGCCCGCGGATAAGAGTGGCTGTTCTGATTCCTGGGCGTGCAATTTGTAAAATAGAAAATTAAGTGATACTAGCAGTTGATACTTACCAGTGTCATTTCTATAACATAGCTGGAGACTAAGAGTGCTTATTACCACTAAAATACCAGAACTGAAATGAAGTTTTTTACTTGGAGATAGAAAAAATGCAGAAGGGAGGAGCATGCACATGCCTGAAATTGCTCTCAATTAGATCTATTGAACAAATATTTTTTTTAATCAAAATTATTAGTCCTCTCTTTTCCATGTACCGGGTGCATTCACCACTGATCTCACTGATACGAGATCAATCATTAACACTAACACTGATATCATTAGTATTAGAAACAACAACGATGAGTACATTATCTCTAACACAAAGTAACCGCTGATATCAATGATGAAACCTGAGACAATCGACAGTAGACCCCAGAAGAGATTATTCATACTGCACATGATGCCATAAGCAGTTGCTATCTGACTCTTTTCCACAATTAGACCAACAAGAGGCCAATAAGCAGCTGCAACTATCGTATAAGACACCGAATACAAGATACCAGTGGTATAAGGTATGAAGTGAAGCCCTGGAGAAGTGATGAGTAGAACTAGGTGCACAGCCAAAGCACTGGTAATGGCTCCCATAGTCCATAGTATGTGGTGTCCAATTCCGTTCACTATATATCCAATTATTGGCGTAGCTAGTATTGTAGCACTGAATACAAATGAATTTGCAATGCTTGCTTCCTCTAGTGACAGACTATACTTTTGTACATAGAAAACTTGCCCAATGCCAGTAAATGAAAATACAATTGAATAGAAAATAATGATGAAAACCGTCAGCCAAAACCGATCATCAAACTGCTTAAAATCGCTGTGCTTCATTTTGCTTCTTTTGGCTTTCTGTGTCTTCTTTTCTTTAAACGTCTCCCTATACATGTCCAGCATAGCTACAGTGATACCCACCATTAATCCAACACATGCCAGACCAGCTCCTACTAATATTGTAGCCCCAAGACGATATGAGGGATCGTCAATGAAACATAACTGCTCGTTAATGAATTGAGGTACGGCCAAAGCAGCTGCACCACCAAGTCGTGCTGAAGTGCCACCAATTGACACTGCTAGTGTGAAATACTTCTTACCGAACCAATTGATGAAAAACATAACAGTGACAGCTGGTATCAAAGTGGCTCCAATTCCAATGAAGAACCGGCCGACCAATACGACCCAGAAAAGGTTGAAAAAGCTAGCGGCAGACCACACAAGTATACCAGTGAGGATGATAATTATCAATATCATGTAACTGACTCTTCGACCTAATAGTCTATCTGCTATCACTCCTCCTATCACTGATACAAATATGTTAGGCCATGTGGTCACGAGAAAGAGCAGGTTATATTGTGTGGTATCAATATCCATTACTTTGATGATAGTGTCTTCCAGTCCTCCCGGGCTTTCATTGCAGTAGTAACATAGAAACTGTACATAGCAGGTAAGGAAAAGGAGTGCCACTAGATACGGCCATTTAGTTGGGTGGCAGCAGCACGGCCTTCCCTTTGATTGAAAGTCAGATTGGACTGGCAGGAGCTGCTTTTCCATATTAATGCTTACAATCTTACACTATATAATACAAAGAAGACCATAGGTTAGTCTGGCTTCTATAGATCTGGATTTATCCTGACTTTGTGAGATTATAACTGAGTCATGGGGAAAAGGTCACAGCAGCAACATCATTGAGGAACTGGCAGTGTGGGAGTGTTATAGAGGAGGAGGTTTTAAGATACTAATTACTTGGCCAGAATTATGATAGCACTATAATAGAGTTACAAATCTTATGCTACATAAAATATACACACATAAATAGGTAGATTTATAGAAAAAATGATAAATTAGTTTTGGATTTTATCTTGCGACCTCTTTTCCTTTCTTTTTGCAGTACAAGTTCCGGGTAAAATCCCGACTGATTTCTTTGATACCAAATCAATCATTAACACTAACACTGATGCCATTAGCACTAGAAATGACAGCAACGAGTACATTATCTCTAACACAAAGTAGCCATTGTTATCAATAATGACACCAGAAACAATTGCCAGGAGACCCCAGAAAAGATTCTGAAAACCAAAATAAATCCCATAAGCCGTTCCAATTTGATTACTTTCGACAAGAAAACCAACAAGAGGCCAAAACGAAGGACCAAATATAGTGTAAGATATAGAATAAATAATACTAGCAACGTAAGGTATGTAAGTCAATCCTGGATTACTTAGCAGTAGAATGAGGTGAGCAATTACTGCAATAGCTAGACCCAATATTGTCCATAGTAAGTGATACCCAATAGCATTTACTACATAACCCATCACTGGTGTCAGGAGTATGGTTGCACTGAATACTAAGGAATTAGATAGGCTTGCTGCTCTTAATGACAGGCCGTACTTCTGGGCATAGAACACTTGCCCTATGCCTGAGAATTCATAGACAAGAGCATAATACATCATTATAATTGCAGCAATCCAGAAGCGGGGTGAAAACTGCTTCACATCACTGCATTTTACTTTACTGGTTTTAGCTGTGAGATCACTGCTTCTAAATTTATCCATTATTATCATGACAACTGTAACTATCAAACCAATTATCATGCCAGCAACACCAGCCATAACAGTAGCACCAAGCCTGTATGAAGAGTTATTAATATAATGAAACTCATTGTATATAAACTGAGGTAGCGATAGCCCAACAGCTGCTCCCAGCCTTGCTGCTGTGGTATTCAAAGACAGACCAAGTGTTGCGTACTTTTTCCCGCACCATTTGAAAATAAATATTTTCGAAATTGAGGCAGAAATCATTGCTCCAACACCAATCACAAATCGACCAATCAAAGCAATCCAAAAATAATTAACAAAACTACCAACAGACCAAAAAAATTGACCAAATGTTATAATGACCATCACGATCAGATAACTTGATCTCGGTCCTAGTATCCTATCAGCTATCACTCCTCCTATTACTGATACAAATATGTTAGGCCATGTGGTCACAAGAAAGAGCAGGTTATATTGTGTGGCATCAATACCCATTACTTTGATGATAGTGTCCTCCAGTCCTCCTGGACTCTCATTGCAGTAATATCCAATGAATACTGTGAAACATATCAATGCTAGCAAGATACTGCCATAGCTCCAATGGTTCGGATGGAAATAACGTGTTTCTGGAGCTTTACTTTTTACTTCTAGGCTGATAGAAGACTGGTCACATCCTTCTAACTCGCTTTGTTCCTTGTTTGCTTTGTATTTCAGTACAATGACCTCTTCTTCCTCCATGTCAGCAGTGGTTTAGCAAATCTGGTTATGGGGAGGGGCTACAATGTAAATACACATCCCACGCAAAATAGACTACTATAAAAACTACCAGCTAGAGTAGAGAGAATACTGAATGCTAGTGAAACAAAGCATGAAAATAAAGAATAGATTTATTGTTTAATTTTTTCCTTTGTGGAGATATTTTTTTCTTTTCTTTTTGCAGTACAAGTCCCAGGTAAAAGCAAGACTGATCCCTTTGATACGAGATCAATCATTAACAGTAACACTGATACCATTAGCACTAGATATGATAGCAACGAGTACATCATCTCTAACACAAAGTAACCATTCTTATCAATGATGACACCAGAAA